ATCATATTGAAAGCTTTGTACGATTGTAGATGATGCCTGAGTAATAATAACAATAACCTTTTTGAAAACTGGGATGTTACAAGGGTGCTTTGTCTTACTCATGTCGGGCACAAGATTGGTGGCATTGGATGTGAGTAGAGAGAATATATTGACTTGGGTTGAATGGCATCGGTGCCGTTTGAATGGCATTGGCTTGAGGTAAAAAAAAATTGACTATGCTTGGATTGACATTGGATACCAAAGGAGTGACACCAGATGTGAGGAAAGAGAATTGTCTTTTCTTGATTTGAGGCTAGGCGTGAGGGCCTAAGGGTCTATACTTAATCCATGTCGAGCGCAGGTTGTATGACATCAGGCATAGACGAGGCAGAGGACTCTTTGTCTTAATTACGTCAGGTGTAGGGTGGATAGCATCGAGCATGGGTTGCCTTATTTTAACTTATTTTTTTATGATTAATTGGTGAACACGAATAGGTTAGATGAATTTATTGCATGTTGTATGTTGACTAGTGATAATTGTTCTATGTATATTGATCTGGGATAATATATATGAATGATTATATGTTGAACAACATTAAGGTGCACTTCTACTATAAATCGAATAATGTTGATAGCTTTATATTCATTGACATGAGGTAATGCATATAGATGGATATTATTGAGGTGTAATGCCGATAATACTTTAGACATTTAGGCATATTAATTGACTCAAGATTAAATGGGAGGTGTTTTTGAAAGTTGAATATTCCATTGTGTAGATATTGGTGTGGTGTTCTATGAGCCCAATTGTTAAAAAACCTCATTAAGTAAGTGTTCTCTCTTAGAGTGGATTGTTGAGTCTCCTTTAGGACTTTAATTGATGTGGTATGTGGGTTAGGTCAAGGCATATTGGCTATAAGTGACTAATGATGAACTGTATGTAGGCAAGGTCGAGACACACATGTATAAAGTGATCAACTAGGTAAATTACAAGGTTAGAGACTTAGTCCCTATTTGAGTATCGTTGGGACGCAATATTTAAAGGGTAGTTAGTGAGCTAATTTCATAGAGGACTTAGTTTTGTAACCTTATGTCATGGTAGGGGTCATACCCAAATTGTTATACCTTGACAAAAATACTAGACTTCTTAGTTTAAGTGACAATATTTGAGAAATCAATAATTATGGATTTCGTATCCCAATTTGGTTGTTGACCTAGCATGTGTAAAAAGGATGTGTTGGTTCGATAGGATCAAGCCACTTAGATTGCTCACTTTGTTGTAAGAGATCTTCGTAGGTAAATGCACGATGATGCATTAGTTGAAGTGTATGCATATGATGTGGTATGATGTGCCTGTTGTTCATATCACTACAAAAAAATATACAATTTAGCGACCACCAAAATCGGTCACTAAATTGCTAAAACCCTGGTCGCTAAGCTATTTAGCGACGAAAAAATTTTCGGTCGCTAATTCAGTCGCAAAATGGTTGCAATAATTTTGGTCACTGAAGTGTATATGACCAAATTAGTGATCAATTAAATTGGTCGCTAAATATTTATTTTTTATCTTATTAAATTTTATAGACGTTGCAAATTTGGTTGCTGCAAACCACTCATATTTGGCCTCTTAAGGATTTTATTTTACAATACTTAACTTTTTAGCATGTTTTGTCCTTAATTACTCAATTTTTGAAAACTTTCCAGAAGGTCACCCATCCTTATATTACTCCAAGTCAAACACGCTTAACTATGAAGTTCTTATGAGATAAGCTACCGAAAAACAGATGCATGTTGTTAGTATAAGTAGTATAAATTAATTCATTTAAGTCATCCTCAACTATCCAATCTCATACTTATATTATCTATGGATCTTTATCATTTTGGTATATCCGGACCGTTATAAATATATAATAATATATATAATAATTATATTACTAATAATAATAATTATATTATATTTAATTAATCTTTATTTATATATATACTTACTTTTATAATTAACAATCTACTTATTTCTATTTAAAATTAATTTTATGATACAATTTAAATTATTTATTATAAATTTAAAAGTTTAAGTAATAATTTATATATTTTAAAATGAGAAGGGTTATAATAACACTGGTATAACTTTTACTAAGTATTACATCGCTCAATAACTTTATATTAAATGTGAATTTTGTAAATCCAACCGTTAGATTGAAAGTTCATATCACTTTATATGTTTATATCAATTTTTGTTAAAATTGAACAACAACTTAAAATTTAGCGACCGAATTCAATTTCGTCGCTGATTTTAACTAATATTTAGCAATCGAATTTAATTTCGTTGCTAAAAAAAATCAAAATTTCTGATTTAGAGACCGAAATAGAGACCGAATTTAATTTCGTCGCTAAAAAAATCAAAATTTCTTATTTAGCGACCAAAATAGCGATCAATTTTCTAGCGACGACTTATTTTGGTTGCTAAATCGGTCACTATTTTGATTATTCATAATCGGTCGTTAAATCAGTCGCTAAATAGCGACTGATAAATTTTGGTCGCTAGTTTCAGTCGTTATTTTGCAAACTTGTTGATACCATGTTGGTTGTTGTATGATGTAAGTCATGAGTTGCATGTTGGATGGTTAACATGTGATGGTATACTAATATTTCATCTATACTTGTATATGTTTATTATTTTGAAATCTAGTTTATCCTTACATGTTTTCTAAGGGTTGGACTGCGATGGTCATGTTTACATAGGAGTATAATGTAGGGTTAGTTGGAGGCAAGTCCCTATTGGTGTGGCCATGTTGATTGATGGCTTGATGCAAATGCTCTTTTGGTTACTCTAAGGTAACCGTTTCTATAATTGTTGTTTAACTAGTAACCTAAGCTGACACTTTATAGTTTTTGGATTACTATATATACACGTGTATATTCAGTTGTTCACATGTATGTATATAATATATCTTGCATATTCAGGAATTGTTATGTATTTGCCTTAGGTAGTTATGCATGTCTTTCCATTGCTTCTATTCCATTAAGCATAGGGATCATGATGGATCGATATAGGTGCGAAGCAGTTATTTACTTTATATTCATAGATATATGAATTGATTTTTTTAAAAAAAAAGATTGAACTAAATCAATCTACTTTATAAAAATAGATTGAATAGTTGAATCAATTTTGTAAACCGGATTAGTTCAAATTTTTTTATTTATCAAAATTATAATAACAACATAAATTTAAACTTAAAATCCTATCTATATTATCTTAATCACTAAGTCGACTTTGACGATTCTTTATGTAAAGTCAGGCGAAATTATCCAACAGCTTCAAGAAATATGTGACTTTTAATTAAGCAAAACTCATTTCCAATCTATACAGAATAGGATGGATTTAGAAAAATAAGTGCTCATGTGAAGGGAAAATGCGATTAAAGAAAAAAAAAACTGATCAATCTGCTACCTTTTATTTTTCTTAATTGATTGTATATAATGGTATTGGAAATTGATTATTATATGTTTGCTTTGACAGCAATTGATTATTATATGTTAAAAATTCTAGCATAACGTATCTATGCCTTTTGTCGTTATCTTATTGTTTTATTCATATATTTTAAATTCATATATAAAGCAGTTTCAGAATTTTCATAGCCCCAAGTACTAGTAGTATATTGAATCATTGGAAGCTAAAACTGGGTGCAGACGTGTAGTTCGCAATTAAATTAGTAATATAAGGAGTGAGGATTTAGCATGGAATGTTTGGCAGCTCGTGAACAAAAAAATACGAGACAATATGGGTCATTTATGGTTCCGAGTTTCTTTGTTGTTACCTCTTTTAACTTGCGTGGGTTATAGTAATTCTTATATTCTTTTTCAGTAATTATTTTAAGTTGTAATAATAATAATAATAATAATAATAATAATAATAATAATAATAATAATAATAATAATAAATGCAAGCTAAAAGTTTTGATATGAAAAATTTGATATTAAATATATCCGCGGAAAAATGTCCCCTAGTTACTCAAATTCTAATAAACGAGTCTTGTTTGTATAAAATATGGATAAAAATGTTTTGCTAATTTATTGACACACTGTCATGATCATGTATCTCATCACAAAGTATAAGACTAAGAACAAAGCCTCTAGTCATAATCTTTTTGAGTGCCAAACAAAGAGTAGAGACGAAATTTTCTGTACACAGTGAAAGAATAATTGTTAGTCTATAATTAATAGTTTCTTTACTAAATACAATAATAAAGTTCACATAAAAGAACAAAGCCTCAAGCACTAACCGGTTCTTACAATTAAAGAGTTAGGAGAGAATTACGGGTGGAGATACTCATATATAATTTAAAATAATTACAATTTTCATTCGACACAAAGCTGATTCGTCAATTTTGTTGTTTTTACTCAAAATTTGGTGCATTGTTTGCTTTGAACGTTGATTCGTCAATATTGTTTTATACGTACAATATGTTTTGTCTGTTTTCATGCATCTGATAAGTTATAGTGTAATGAGTTCAGTTTTTTTTCAGTTTCATAAGACTTTAGTTTTAAAGTCTGGGATCCTATTATATTTGCTTTGGAGATTTTATCTAAGTGTAACGGTTGAAGAGAAAGGGTGAGAACACATAAGTGCATAGACTGTAAAAGAGATACATAAAAATAAAGAGAAAAATTTTAGAGACATCAAAGGGTTGTGAATAAGAGCAAAAGATAGTTCTATTCTAAAAACTTGATCATCTGCTTTTTTCCGTGGAAGTAGGTTACTTTAACTAAACATCAATTTTTGTGTTCTTCTTTCTCTTAATCTTTTTGTTTTGGTGTAGTGTTTTTTTGCTGCATTATAAAAAAAAAAAAAATGTTTTACATTTTGTTGAATACTTGTTCTACTCATGTGTAGGGTTTGATTCTCGTAGCTCTTTTACTTGTTTAGGACCAACAAACTCATACTTTTTTAACTAATCATATAGCAGGATATATATAGAGTTACCAGAATACAAGTTTAATTAATATATGACATACAAATAAATCAAAAGAAAAGATAATGGTTTCCCATTATTTGAAGGAGAGGGTGACATGATATTATTGCATGGTTGGAATTAAAGGCTCCACCACAATCTACTAGTGGGGAAGAAACAGAAGGGAAAGGAGAAAGAGTATTGCATGATCTGTTATAGTTGCAAAAAGTTTTGTAAAGTGCTTCTGTCAATGTCACTGATGTCCACAGAATCCATCAACTCTGATAGCCTCTCACTGAGTTGTTCCACCTCTTCCTGCAGCCTCCTAATATGACAACAAGTTTCCTGCAAAATCTTCGACGCTGATTGCTGCTCCCAAAACACAGACAAACTTTTTGTCACTCTTCTCTAGAAATTAATCGATTCAGACTAAAGTAATCAGTTTAAACTTGAGAATATAGTTGGATTAATATTTTACAGTGAGTTATTGTTTTCACCGTGCAATGCAACTTTGTTATTGTTCACTAACATGGTGTCTCTCCCTAAACCCTATTTTTACAGTTTAATTTTATTATAATATTTTACATCGTAAACTAATCATTACATATATAACAATTTTGTTCTGTATATAATAATTTATGGATAAATAACTGAGTAAGTTATCTATTTAAATTACATTTTAAAAAAAGTTAAATATATTTAGTTTCTGTAAATAAGTTCATGTTCATTTTAGTGTCTAAAAATATATAATATATTTAGTTTTTTTTATTTATGAAAAAAATCATGTGTTATTCCTATTTTTATATAAAAAAAGTGTGACATTTTTGTTTTTGGGTGAGAGAAGGTGATACTTGGACACGTTTCCGTGAACAATAGGCTAAAGGAAGTCAGTTTTTATTTATTTATTATTTTGGAAGTAAAAGCAACATTTTATATGTATTTTTTTATAAGAAAAATCTTTATTGATAAATAAAATAAAAGGGGTACTATATATTCATATGTACTAAAAACATTTTTAACTTTTTTTTTTTTATTTTTTATAAAAAAAATATATACGATACTATGGTTTCTTGTGACTATATATCAAGGTTTTATTTAATTTTATCAGTCTACAACAAACATGATGCATACACAAGTTTAATACATTAATATTATTTAGAATTTAACTTAAAAACACAATTACATACAATTGCAAAATAATATATATATATATATATATATATAAATTTTAACGCTTATCAACGAACTTAGGGATTTTTGTCATCAATATATGGAATTGGTGAGTGGCAGTAAGGGTATTAAGCGAGTTTGGTCCTTTGTTTGGTTTGCAGGTATATGGCAGTTATGGAAGGCTCGAAATGAGAACATTTTCAAAGGCAAGCTCTTTAAGGTGGAAGAGATCGTGTTCATGGCTCAGTTGCGATCGTGAGAGTGGTGTACGACTGCTAGAATGATGTCTTCTTCTTTTCCAGAATGGTTGATGAACCCCTTGTCCTGTGCAAGTGTCCCTTAAATTTGTTTTTTCTTATTTTTGGGTCTTCTTGTTTTTAATTATGACTTGCACTTCTTGTACACAATTTTCTTGGGATTAATAAATTCTTGGCTTATCAAAAAAAAAACTAGATAAACTTACTCTTGAAATAAAAAAAAATGTCTTTAACTTAAAATAAAATACAAAGCAAACGACTTAAACACATACGTTTAAGTTGCTTCAAAAAAAACTTTTTGATCAATTAAAAATATAAATAAAATAACATTAAATTTATTATAATACTTTTTTTTAATACTATATTAGTTATCTTAATAAACTTTTATTAATCATGTTAACAGTTAACATAGTGCTGATGATTACGAAAATAATAATAATAACAACAACTTTCAAAATTAAATATAAGGGGGCTTATTCTTTTGAAAAATATATACTTATCAATTATTTTTCTCATACAATATCTAAATTATTAATTACATTAATAATTTGTATATATATATATATATATAAAGGAAAATATGTTAAATAATTTAAAAGGAAAAAATATCATAAAAATAAGGATATGACACATTTCTTCAAATGAAGAAGTAAAATGAGATATTTTCTCAGAAGAGATCACATGTATTTCCAACAAGAGCTAGGCAATGTATTGCTTGAGTCAGAAAAGGAAACAAAGTTTGTTTGTTTTTTTTAAAAAAATATTTAATGTAGTATATTAAGGTTGAAATTCGAGATTACTAACTAACCTAAAACAATAATTTTTTATTAGTCGACCAACACATTCTACATGAGATTCGCTTTCGAGAGAATAAAAGTACAAAACAATAACTTTGGATTAGTCGACCAACACACTCTACATGAGATTTGTGAGAGAATAAAAGTAAACATTATCTTAATTATAATGACTAAAAATATGTTGGTGTATTTTTGTTGTAGAGGAAAGTTTAATTAGGAATACCGTTTAACATTAATGTAATTAAGTTTCTTCAAAGCTCACATTAATATTTCTTTACTATTGCAACCATAATTAACTTTATCTGTCAAGCTAGAGTAGAGAAGGTTATTATGAAATCAGCTAAGGAAAGCAATGCAGAAATGAAGTAAAAGTATTCACTCCATGGACGTGATCATACCCTTGAGTTTCCTCTTTGGTTCACTTGTGGAAGCAGAACTTGTAACCTAGAGACAAGATCATTAATCTCATTCTCTGTGAACTTTGAAGCTCTTGATGACCTTCTCTGCCCTGATGACATGACTATATGTATGTTATAGCTCTCTCCTTGTTTAGTTACTTTCAGCCTTTGCTTTCAGTGTGTTGTGGGAAACTGGCACAAAGGAGGTTGTTTATATAGAAGATTAGAGTGGGAGTGAGAGGCACTGTTCCTCATCAACGTTTTTGAAGCCACTGATTAGTTGGAATAAGACAACACTCTAGAAACATTAAATAATCAGGAAAATGATTGATATATAGAAGATGCATGTATACAACTAGTCAAAGATAAGAAAGTGAACAGAAAAAGAAATAAATTAAAACATGCTTAACAATATCTGGTAGCAGTATGCTTTGTATTTGTTGGAGATTTTTATTGTTTTTATCGATATTTTCATACACACTCTATAATAGTAAAATATATGATAAAATATAAAAGATAACAAGAAAGAGTTAGAATATTATACACAAACTTTTAAATTCGATTCCTATTATTATTATTATTGATAAAAAAAATAGTGCATATTTACAATATTATTGTTGCCCCATAACTTGACGTTGAGTTGTTTAAATCAAGCCTTCTTTATCACATATTTCAACAGTACTAGGGATGGCCCACGATCACTGTGTCCTTTTTTAATTACAGTCATAGCCTAACCAAACCCTTAAAATTTAAACATGAGTTATATCAGCACTTTGGTTTTCAGTTGCGGATGTTTCTTGTGAGTATTAAAATGGTAAAAAGTTACATACTAATGTTCTTGATGTGGACACATTTATAATTGTCAATCAAAATGTACCTAGAGTTTGGTTCAAAGAATCAAAGGAAGGGAGAAGAAAATTCTTAATAGAGGACGCGGGAGAGAAAGGGAGGGAAGGAAGAATACAATCTCTTTATTTGATTAATTAGTTTGATGATTAGAGAGGGCAAGGAAAATAAAAAAAATTGTTATATTTTTAATAAATATCAATAGAGAAAATGAAAAGGAAGGAAAAAAGATATAATCTCACTAATTGTTTTTTTTTTTGCATTTTATAATTTAAATTTCCTCATACTGAACTGAAAAAGATAAATTTTAGTTTTTTTTCCTCTCTTT